TTCTCTGCTTTATTGTATGTTGTTTTTATTTTATGTAATATTGTAATCTGCTTAAAGAACTAGCATAGCAGAATATAAATTGAATAAATAAATTATAAAGCACACATTATCCTTAAACTATATCTTTAAACTGGACCAACAGCCCTTCAAACAGAGGAGTGTCTACCATAAAAGAAGACACCTGGCCACCCTAAAATCCATGTGGCAACTATCAAGCATGCTCTTTGCTTATGTTTCCATTCCAGCTGTTTTGTTTCTGTTTAGATTTAATCCGTTTTGTAGCTGTTCCCAGTTTGAATTATTGGGTGTACTGTGCTCTTTGAGTCCTTCTGGACAGGCTTTGGGTACAGCCTTCCCCATGGTGTCCCCCATTGATGTCAGACCCTACTATCTCCCCAGCCGGCACTACCAAGGGCCATTCCGGCTCAGGACCCTGCAAGCGTCATTCCTTCCTCTAGAAAGGGTGCCTGGTAGGGGTAAGATGGGATGAAAAAGTTTATAATGCATCCAGGAAGGGCTTTTGTCTCTTGTGGATTATTTGCTGGCCATATAACTGCCATATAATTGCCAGCCATATGATGCTGCCATATGACTTGGGAAACTGTAAATGTAAGGGCCTGAAGGGACCTGAAGAAGTTAAGGGACACCAAGGCCCCACTCCCTTTAAAAAAGAAATAAGACATTTTATGCAGTATACAGAGGAAAGGGAAACGACCCATGTTACAAGTTTGCATTGGTATCAGAAATATGATGGCCTGCACAAACATATAGAGCTTTTCTACACAAAGTAGCTAATCTGCTGTAATAGCTACTTTCAGTTTCACTGTAGAATTGAGATCCAAGCCCTGGAGGGGGAGCATTTTTCCTGCTTTTCTCATATATAACCTCTAGGTGGCACTGTAGTAGAATGGAACAGTACAAATGAAAGAGTGAAAAAGCATTTTCTTTCAATTAAAAGCTACATTTGCTCTCTCTCAAAAAGGAAGAAAAACAACCTGTCTCATTAGACACAGAAGCAAGAGTAGAGGGTGATGTCATCCAAAGAAGCTATGAGCAGGCAATAATGTATGCACGATAAATGCCTTGTGTAGAAAAGCTCGTAAGATACTGCAACTGTCACATCTGCCTTCTGCCATCCAAATATTTCCTGCTCTTTCAGACAACTCCTTTCCTGCCCCTGGTCATAGAATCACAGAATTAAGGGATGAAGAGGTCATCTAGTGGAGGTCTCCTAGCTCAGCAGGCCTCTAGCAGGGACACCCATCAGGCTTCCTACCTCTGCTGTCTTTTTTAAAATATGTGGGTTAGTGGGGGTTGCCATCCAACAGAAATATTGGATAACTCCATAATAGACTCAAATGGGTACAAATATCTAAGAAACCAATCTGGGGATTGCACAGTGGAAACTTTTTTCCATATTTCAGGGACTCACAGAGCATAGTTTCTTAATTTTATGCAATTCCACACCAATTTAGTTATCCAAACTATGAAAAAATTAAAAACACCAACCAAAAATGCATATTTCCCCCATAGGACAAAGCATGAGAATACAGATTTTTCAGGGATTTGCATACTTTGAGGGGTTTTGCACCTTTTGGGAATGCAAATTTGCACACCTTGCATGCAGATGCATCCCGCAGAAAATCCAGTTCCGTCCATGACGGCATGCTGGCATGAAGGCCCCTATGAATATGCAGATGGAACAGATTTTACAATGTGTATCTATCCCTACTGTGCAACATCTCTTTCATTCCACCTGTCACCCTCTGGGTGGTAATCCAATTCTCATTATCCCCACTCTACATGGTCCTGCTAATTGGAGGGGTGACTGGAGTTATAGTCCAGAACAGCTGGAGAGCAGCAGGTCAGAGGAAAGCTAGAGGTTTTGTATTTAACTTTTTGGAGCTTCATCTTGATTTCCTTTTCCACTGTTACCGTGGTGTGATATTGCCACTTGGGTTGGTGTTCTGATGTACTACCTTGCTTTTATGAAAGCCAGTGTTGAATAATAATTCAAGTATTGTACTAGGACTTGGGAAATCCTGATTCTAGTCCCCTCTTGGCCATAAAGCTCACTTTGGACAAGTCACTGTCTTTCAACCTAAGCTACCTCACAGGGCTGTTGTGAGAATAAAATTAAGAGGAGGAGGAAAGATTGAATACATAAATATTATGAATTTTTATAGGGACCCCATCAATCAAAGGGATGAAGGATATAACGAATAAAATTGTATTTACTATTAGCCTCAGTCCAAGCACCATCAACATTACAAATTTCTGGAAATGAACCTTCTCGAGGTAAAATTAGCAATTCACCCTCAACTCTTTCTTAGTCTAAACAAAACAGCTTCAAATCTAAACAGTTAACTTTGTGAGAGATTTGTGTCCATTTTCTCAAGGCCACATGTGCTCCAGAAGGAAATACATAAATATTTACAAAAATGAAGCAGGAAATATTTTCCCAGGGTATTTTTTCTCTGCAGGGCTTTATTGGGTCATGAAAGCTGGCATTTATTTTAAGCTGGAAGTTAACAGTTTATGCTCAAAAATGCAAAGTTCAGATATGGAAACAAGCTGCCTTTAACAAACACACTGGAATATATATTTACATTACTCTAGAGGGCAAGACCATATCCTGACTCACTGGTAGTAACAGGTTCACAATATCTGTTTTGACACAAAATACTCTGCAATTTTTTCTTAGCTGCATCAATGAAAATAATTTGCAGCATAAATTAGCTTGCATGCTAACTGGGCAAGTTAGACTTTTCTGACAGGGGAGAGGTTCTTAGATGTATTAAAGATAAAATTGCAAAAGAACAAGCAAGCAATATTTGCTTTATTTCCTCACTGTGTGCATAAGGTGAAAATCAGCCAGAAATACATTTGGTGAGAAAATAAATTGTTTATTTGTATTGTTATTGGATAAATGCATCATTATGCAATGCTTTATTTATTGATTGTGCTTTTCCTACAAGCAACTTCTTGTTCTTCATTGCACCCTCCTACATTTTATTTTCACAACAACTCTGTGAGGAAGGTCAGGCTGAGCAATACCAACTGGGCTTAAGTCCTGAGAGAGTAAGGATTTAAGTCTGGGAAGCTCCTCTCCTAGTCCAAGACTCTGCTCTTATGAAATAGTTATTAAGTTATCAAACCACACGAAATGGTTACCCATGTTTGCTGCTGTTACTGTTGTTGTTGGGAAGAGATTTCTATCCTTGGCATTCATGCTAACATTCTGGTTCATTTAATATGGCTGATTATCAGTCTTTCCCAACCTGGTGACCTGCAGATATTTTTGGATTACAACTCCCAGCAGCCCCAGCAGCTTCAGGCAAGGGTCAGGGTCCAAAGGGAAGGAACCAACTAGGTTGGACTCAAAGTGAATCCGTTGCATTCCCACTGATCTCGATGAGGCTGGTATTTTTTGTCACAACTACATTGCCCTGCCGATTTCCGTGGGGCCTCAATGTATCCAGCATCAAGATCTCCAACTGTTCCTGGATAGTGTCGACTTTTGTCACGGACCTTTGGGAAATCATTTTCCCAATAGTTGCCTCTTAAGGGGAGATATCATACACCTCTGAAAGTCCAAAACAACAGCAACAGCAACAAAGGTTGGGGTTTTTTTTAAATATGGACACAATTTTGCAATTTTCTGTGGCTGAAAATACTAATAAGAAAAATTCAACCCAGGTCACACATTTTGTGGCAAGGTGAGGGAGAGAAGAACACCCTGGACTGGAGGAGGGAGTGGAAAACAAGACAAGTTCTGCTGCGAGGGACTCTCAGATGTCGGCTGGAGGAGAACAAGCCATGGTGAACCGGTCTGTCGGTTATTCTCTGGATGTCTCCACATGTCATGCAAACTGACAGAACTGAAAGTTCCTTTTAAGAAAGATGCTTGCCTTTCTTAAGATAAAAGCAATACGATGCAAAATAGTAGTAGTACGGAGGAGGAGGAGGAGGAGGCAATAGAGGTACTATAAAATGACACATTTAATTATGAGCCAAGAAAAGCTCAGGGAGTAAAAAGTGATTTCAGAGAAATTTTCTCCTTCCAGACTGCATAAGGGAGTTCTTTCCATAAGGTGGTCACCAGTGTCAAGATGACCTACTGTAGAGGCACTATATGGTAGTGTTCCAAAAACTTTGGAATGGTCTGTGAGCCCTCATCTGATTATCTTAATGGTCAGTTGGATTTATATAAGGAAGGCAGTCTGCTGGGTATCCTGTTCCTAAGTAGTTTTGGGCTTTGCATGACCATAAAACAAGCTTGAACATGGCTTGCTGGCTAGAACTGCCAAAGCAGTTCTTTCACCACCGGTCTTGTGTGGGCATAGCTGGAGTCCGAATGAGCACCTTCCCTGCTGCATTGTGCTCTAGCTGCAGCTTCTGAACCAGGCTAAGGCAGCAGAGAGCCTTTAAGTAGACTAATCCTAAGGTTACCAATGCAGAGATCATCTTGGCTAGTCTATCCCTCACCAGGAATTGGGTGTAGTTGACCAGCCTGGCTGAAGCATGCTAGAAGTCAAAGGCCATTGTTCTGTCTAAACCTGCATTATATTTCACCCTTTGTGTGCTTAGAATTCCAGCCCTAATTTATCATCTTTTATACTTACCACTGAGTTTGAAACATGTAAGGATGGACCCTAGTCTTTTTCTGGGAGTTTAACTTAAAGGAGAGGTTGTCTTATGCATTCAAGGCATCTCTTCCGGCCTGCACTGATTCCACGGCCAACAGATAAACTTCAATAAACATCTGTCACTGCTGTATAAATATGCTGCACAATATATGACTACACTGCTAACTTTAAAAAAGCAAAAATAAAAAAATGCCATGCTCCATTAAGGCCTCTTCAGTCTCGTCCTTTATTTAGCTCTAATCAAGTGGGATCTTCAATTTAGTTTGCTCTCTAGAGTGATATGGGAAATCTTCTTTTGGAGATTATTAAGGCTGGAACAACGAAGGGCATTTCCTGTGGAGCTGAATAGCGAGAGGCATGAAGAAGCAACCCTGGAAACACGAAACCTTCGTGTTGCTGTTTCTCGTCCTAGCTCAGATTCTGGGTTTAGATGACGACAACCGGCCAGCCACAGAGGTTTGCTCTACACACACCATTTTACCAGGACCAAAAGGTGAGACATCCGAGGTAAACACCCTTGCAATAGCTAAAGCGATTGTATCTGCTTCAGGGAAAATCTACACAGGATTCATTATTGCTTCTTAGCCTGCAAGCCCTAAAAAACAGATCTCGCACCATAGGGGTGGGATAGCAGGGTTGCCAGCTTTTCATCTGATTCCTGTAGCTGGAATTTGACTGAAGTGTACTGTATTTACTTTGGCAGCTGATCGTGTTTTTCTTAACAGAGTAAAAAGCTTTCACTTTGGGGGCTTTTGAACATCAAGGTGTAGTTTAAAAGGGGGGAGGGAGATCTTGCACCCTCTAGATGTACTCCAACTCCCATCAGGCACAGCCAGCAGCTCCCAGCAGCCAAATCCCATCTGGAATTATGGGATTTGCAGTAGAATAACATTTGTAAGATTACAGATTCCCCACTCCTGCGTTAAAGGTACAAAACAGACCAGGAATTTTGCTAGTCTGGTGGCAATCCTTGTAAGGAATTAATTTATATGATTTTTAAGCTGATTGTTGATGATTAATTCAGTGATGATTAATCCAGTGTCCATTGCATAAATAAGTATGATCAATTAATGCATTTCATGATCTAAGCATTTATCTAGGTGTTAAAATCAGAGATAAAAGTTGCTTACAGGAAAATACTTAACCTTCCTAAAGCAAACAATGGCACATATTTCTTTTGACTCATCTTCTGATGGAGCAGAAGGAGGGCTTACTGTTGCTTGCTTTAAAAAGCTTAAGTGTCTTCTACTCCCTGCACCATTCCAGTCTGTTCGTTTTTCCCAAGAGCTACAAAAATGTGCAAATGAGTCCCCCCCGCCCTTTTTTTTTTTGTGGCACCAGAAAGCTGAGCACTATTCCTAAAAAGTTTTGTTGGTGGCAGCCTTTCAGAGGTGTGCAAGTGTGTAAAATCTTGCACACCTAAGAGGCAAAGCTGGGGACAAGGGCCCAAGGGCACATGCCAGAAAACAGACTATCCAGGAACATTTGGATATTGTGAAGCTAAATCCAGATCAGAGTTGGTTGAATTTGGGTCCCATTGAAATAAGTGGGGCAACTTAAACTTTCGCTTAAACTTTAGCAAAGAAAATTAATCTGGAATTGTTTAGTGTTAATTAAGCCGAAACTGAGTAGCGTTAGAGAAACTAAAGAAGTATACAAGGCAGCTAATCTCTGCCCCACATTATTGGGCTTCTATCCATACTTGGTTGTTAAGAATTCACATCCACAATAAAGAGACTGTATGGCCTAATGGCAAAAGCGTTTGGGTAGCATTTCAGATGTCCAGGCTGAAATCTTTGCTCAGCTACAAAGCTCAGTTGGTGGGCCTTGTGGATAAAACCACTGAACATAATCCTCCTCTCAGGATTTTTGTGACGCTAAAAATAGAGATCTAAGCAGGTTGCCCGTAAAAACTGACCATTGGCTATGATAGCTGGAACTGCTGGGAGCTGATATCCAAAACACTGGGAATGCATTTCAGATTGGAAAAGGCTGCACTCATCTGGATATCAACCAATAGATATCCACTACATCCAAATTTTAGTAGATTTCATGTTTCAAAATTTATTTGTGAGCTAAGCACAAAATTAAAAGAGGTATTAAAAGCTTGCACAAGGGAACTGCTCATGGGAACTGCTATTGTGCAAAACTTTGACTCCATAGTTCCATCAAGTGGCCCCTTCCTTGGTATCTGCACCTTTGAAGTGGGCTTAAGTGTTGGTTCACATTGTTCTTTTGCACCTGTACGTTTGGTGCAAATTTAAATGCAGTGCCAGAACCACCTTAGGGCAATTGCTGGGGCCCTAGCAGGGCCCACCAACATCTACCGTGTCCCACCATAGCAGGCAGCTACAAGCCACCTTTTCAGATGGGTCACAATGCCCTTCTGCCTGACCCATTTCAACCCATCATGGGAAATGTAAATGGTGGCTTATGCTCAGGTAAACTTATGGGTAGACGGGGCATAGGTGTAAGAATGGACCAGGGAGGAAACTTTGCTCAAGGACAAATTGTGGTTCACCAGATATTTTGGCCTGGAACTCCCATC